TGAAAAGAGGAAGCTGTCATATTCTGTATTCCATAACAAACAATGCATTTATTTTTTTGTTTAATCAAAAAAGCCATTGCACTCACAACACTCAATAGGATGTGAGGCCACTTGGAGAGACACGTATTGACCCCCTGGCTGGGGGATGTGAATGCGGAACACCAGTCGCACGCGGGTATTCTTCCGCCCGATGTCTGTCTCGCCTTTCCGTAGCTCTATATCAGCATTCCTGAGCTTCAGAATCCCAGCGCAGTCGATTCTAGGAAGGAGTCATCAAGAGGGGTTCATCGATATCACGAACATTATGAAAATCCTGGATTTATATTAAAAACATGATTAATTCACGCACTTCCTGTTCATGTTCTACTAACGTATAACTTCCCTCTAACAGGGTTTTAGCTCGATGGTATACTTAGATCTTGACAAGTGAACCAGCGTGGGGATATTTTCGGCTTGTTCTGCAAAAGGGCGAGAAATTCGAGTTGAACAGCTACCTTCGCTTCGCTGAGCAGATTAGGTAGCTAAACAGTTTACTGAGAATTTAATTCAGCCATATGATGAACTGCTTTTCCTGTGTTGTGTCACAGGAAGCACACGAGGCACTTCTTTGCAACTGGCGTCACAAACCTAGACTACTTTTGAAGAAACTACTGGTGCTCAAATTATCTTCCATTCATTGAGTCTTTACTCATTGCTTGAGCAGCACTATTTTGAGCTTAATAGCTGTGCGGTTTGGAGTCAAACAGTATTGGGATTACAATAACTGCTCTAACTAAGATTATTTACCATCCTGTCACATACTCTAAGAAGCTAGTGAGTGATCAGTAAGTGTCACATGTACATAGATGAAGGGTATCCCCCACCCCCCGATGTGGTGCGTGTCCAAACCCGTTTTCACTTCAAACGCTGCCTGAGACTAAACCCTATACGCTGTGATGAAGAAAATCCCACATACACATGTCTGACTTACATTGCTTTCATGTTATTCTTTGGCTCTAGAGGGATCTCTAACACCTTTGTGCTATTGATTATCTTCTCATAGCTGGTCGTTGTCACCGTCTTGCCTGTGATGCGGTGCACCTGGTAGAAGGCGTGGGGCTTCAGGATCCGCTCATCTGCTGTGCCAATGAAGATCTGCAGCCCCAGTGGCTCTTTGCCTCTGTATCCATGTAGCTAAAGAAGTGAAAGAGGTATCAGTACCTATAATGATGTTATAGATCGATATGTCATCATACAATGAAGATTTCAGCTGCACAGATGTTCAGATACAATTCACTTCTCACTCCCTCTGACTGAGCAGCGAGTTGCAGGGCACGGTGCTTGCAAGTGTACTAATTTAGCCCGACCGCTGCACACATGGTTGAGCAGAGCCACTGCTGGAAAATTTTGTATCTCCTGCAAGCTTGAATGCAAGCCAGGAGAGTCTGTACTGTCTTACAGGCCAGAGATGTTTTCTCTTTGCTGTGCCTTAATCTCTAAAAGTCTGCAGGAAATCCGCAGGTCACCAGTGAGGGCTCTTCAGGAAAGGTTCTAACAGCCATTGTTATTATTAATACTATTACTTTACCTGGAATAACCCAGGTCACATGACCAGGAGGGAATTCGCACGCATAATATATTTGTACATAGTATACTGTAAGTTAACAGAATTGCCAAAAACAAGAATTAGACCAAGATAGACTGATATCTGTAATAATGTATGAAACAGTGTTCTAGTTTATGTACGTATAAGGATGAAGGATGTATTTTCCCCCCACTAATTTGTTGTTTTCTCTTAGTAAAATATTAACAATTGCGCTATGGAAATGTTCTTTATGCCTCCTCTCCTTCAAATAAATAAAAGTCCTTGTTTAACAGAAAGATGAACAGGGGAATTTTCATATGCAAAGCATGGCAGTGCTCAGTGACAGAGGAAACATCCATGATGGCCACCTTTATAATGAAAAACAACTCAGCAGTGCAGAAAAAAATCAGAACTTATAAGCATCCAGCGTAGCAATGCAATATGGCCTAACACGTCGAAATCGTGCACTTAAAATGTACATTGTACATACTGTATTGCTCAGTGAACGGGATTGTAGGATTTCCTTCTCTAATATGCACAAATCAGACAGATGCACAAAAAAAACAAAAAAAAACAACAACAACAACAACAACAACCAGGGAATAATAAGTATGAACTAACTGTGAGTCCTAATGGGAAGTTTGGATGTACATTGTAATTACAAAGCAATTTGGTCGGAGTAAGATGGCGGTGTACCTTCTCTTAATTACAGTGCGTTCCACTAATATAATAATAAAGAAGTCTGTGGGAAAATTGTCAAAACAAAAGAACAAAAGATCAAAAGGTTAAACGATAAAGACAATTTTTCACAGCCTTCTAAACTCATAGTTACCAAGGGTGCCAATATTAATGGAGGGCACTATAACCACAAAAAATAAAGTGTTTTGGTTTGTCATATATTTTTTTCCACAAATTAAATTATGAAGCCACTGCGAACTTTAGCATTACACATTATATTGTAATGGTACAACACTATCGTATTTTGTACAGCCAGTCGGCTTGTTTTACTGATAAGAAGAAAAAAAACGAGAAAGAAAAGCAAACACATAACTGAAATCAGCTGTAAACATTCAATTTCAACAAATTTACCATCAACTACAGACGCTGCATCCATCGATTCCACCACGTTTTCTTACTGAACACCCCCAACTCGGAAACTCCCGAGTTTCCCCACTCATAAATATTTTTTTGGTATCAAGAGGTACAATTAATGTTGTAGATAGCAGCTACTACGTTATTGACATATTTATTCGTCTCTCTCGTGAATTTAATTTAGTCAACAACAACAAAAAACGCAGCTTGTCATGTTACTGAGAAACCAGACATTCATCTGTCCTAAAAAACACCTGAAACTCATTCCATAAATAAACATCTCCTGACAGAAAACGTCACCATATCAATGATTACTAGCACCTTTTTTTAATCTGCTCACTATACAAGTCTCTGTGTGCGTTAATATAGAAATGATAACGTATTAGAACAAGCACATTAATGTTAACCTATTACTTCCCTTAAAGCTGGCACTTTTGTCTGAGTTGTGCTGTTATAGGAAATGAACCGTCACCTGCATTGTAACAGATTATACCACATGGTCTAGCGGAGCAGCCTGTAAGACACGGTATGAAATTCTCATCTCCTCCTCAACCATAGCTAATTGATGTACAAACCACTAATCACGACAAGACATGATCGCCACAGCCGGATCACTCTCCTTTTCACTTCTATAAATATCTGCTCATACATCACGCATCTACACTTTTCAGACTCACACATACATACGCACATATACATACATTACATCATTAATGCATGGGGCGGTTGGCGCAATTTTTTTGTTGTTTTTTTTTTCATTACACTGTGACACGTCAGCATTGTCTTTTGAAGCAATGCTCAGGACACCTGTGCTAAATTCAGCTTAAGAATGCACGGATCTGAACGATTTTCTATTTATTTATTTATTTTTTCATTCAATTCGAACAAAAAAAAAAAAAAAAACCCTTCACGCCACAGATCGAAATAAACAAGCTTCTCCTTTCAAACTTGATTCATAAAAAAAAACAGAAACAAAGGAGTTCAGAATTGCTAAGAGACACTCATGTGAATTCTGAGAAGGACATTCATACTGTAACACACACCTCCACCCACCCACCCGCCCGCCCACACACACACACACACACACACACAAACACATACAAACAAGACACGGATTAGATCAGCACGCAACAAAAACCAAGGGGACTACATCGGAAGGAAGTGAGCAAAAACCACAAAGCATGAAGAAGCAACTAAAATTATCCAAACCCCTAGAAGCACAAATGAACAGTGGCTAAACAATTTGTATTTATACTGACAGGACTCACACAGCACACAGAATATTATCGACCTTGATTCCACAGTGTAGTCAATGAAAAAGGCAAGCAAATGCTCAATCAGTCAAGGAAACCTGAAGGTCATTTAGAAAGACACATGAAAGGTCATGAAAGGTGATGGAATCCCCCCGTTACACTATGTACATCAACAATGGTCACATGCATAATATTTGACAATCCAAAGCATAGCCTGCAATCTTTCTAGCTGCAAAAACAACTTATTTTGTCCTTCTGGCAAACATCCACAGCCTCAACTGCACGATGTCACTAGACTAGATGATACTGGAGCTCAGTATGAACTTTCATTTCAATAGAAATGACTGCGAATTATCTAAAAAGAATTGCGAACACACTAAAATCATCTCTGAAAGCATGGGTAATAGTTGTTCCTCTGTATTTACTGAGCAAACAGGGACATTTGCAAGTGCCATCTCAAAGCTTGGTCACCATGGAAGACATTCACACACACACACACACACACACACACGCAAACCCATAAATAATCTGCAATCTATACCAGAGGCATGACTCATTATTATAATTATCGAATAGACCTTCATAACAGTTCCCAATATTGTCACAATGTTGCACTATTATTGTGTCGAGATAAGCAACTTTTCAAACCGTGGGAAAATGATGATACAGTGAAATTAAGCTACTTGAATACTCCAATGCAATGACATAGTCACTTCACCCTTACTGACATAATTCACATTAGGAACAATAATAATAATAATAATAATAATAATACTGTGTGTTTAATAGCAGAATCGATGTATAAGCACACGCCTAGACGTGACGCCAGACGTCGTGGGCAAGAATCTCAAAAGTTTCTCTGCAGAGAAAATAAAGAAAAGAAGTTCAAACAAGAAAGGTTGTGACTAAACTGTTGTTATAGGAACAGATTGAAGATATCAGGGAGATAGACGAATGTAAGACTGCCAGGATGTGTACGAACGCACACAATGTGTCGATGTAAAATGTTCATACCACGATGTTTAACGTGTAAATATAATACATCAAATTTGCCAATACCACATGTTTCTTGCCGTAAATCATACTCAAGGGGCAGTGGTGGCTTGGTGGTTAAGGCTCTGGGTTTACTGATCGGAAGGTCAGGGGTTCAAGCCCCAGCACTGCCAAGCTGCCACAGATAGGCCCTTGAGCAAGGCCCTTAGCCCTCTCTGCTCCAGGGGGCGCTGCATCATGGCTGACCCTGCGCTCTGACCCCACCTTCCTGACATGCTGGGATATAAAGAAACCAATTTCACTGTGCTCTAATGTATACGTGACCAATAAAGACCCATTATCATTGTATTCAAGAGCCCATTCAGTTTCATCATGGATTTTTGTGCTAAATAATTGCCATATTATTTTTGCAACTTCAAAAAACCCCAAAGGTTTGGCTACTACGTTATACATTATACATTATGCTAAAATGAAATACAATGGCAGCTTTGTAAAGTTTGTCTTTACTATCCTACACCTGTTTGTGGGTTTCTTCATGTCATCTCGGGGAGGTCGTCCTTGCCTCTGTCACATTACGGATCTAAATCTAGCAGTTTCCCCAAATTGAATATAAAATAAAATCTGATATCTGCAGCATATTGTATGTCTGATTAATGTAACACACCGAGGGTGATGTATAACCCACCAACCCACCACAAGCAGCACGCACGGAGACAGACCAATGTTTCCATAACCCTGAACTAAGCCCATGCCACTTTCACTTATGTCTGTTTACATATGTCTTTCTCTGTCAATACAGGGCTTTTTTTTCTTCTCTCATTCCATTTGTTGTTGACTTTGTTGTTGGGTTCAGAAAAGAGCTACAAAGTCTGAGACCAGACTGAAAATCTGAGACCCCCCCTTTTTTAAATTCATAACAATTTCGAAACACTTAAAACGAAGGAAGTAAATGTTCCATATCCTGAATATTTAGTATTCCGAATTCTGCACTATTTCTAGGACCCTATTTAAACGTCAACAAATCTGCGATATTAACTGCTTCGTTACAAAAGCTCCGATTTTCACCGAGCACGTGCTCAAACAACATTCTGATAGATTTTTTATATGTATAAGTAAATTAATATGCTGTTATTTTAATTATTATGAGAGGAAATTCCACTCCCTATGAATACTGCTTGAAAAATCACACACCTGGACCACTGGATGCCCTCCTGTAGGTGCTTTAACAGCCCCCCGACTGCCCTCAGTCTCGTAGTGTGCCCTGTGGTGTGGTTTGGGCTGCACCTCGATGTGCAGCTCATACTGGTCTGTGCGGCTGGGCAGAGGCCACTCCAGAGGAGGAAGAGAGGCAATCGGGATGCTGTGAAAGAAAGCCACACTCAGATTTTGCATCAAAAATCCCCAAAACTTTCATATCACAATTATTTCCTGAAATGAAGTGTGCTAGAATGATGCGTAACGGTCCCAAGGATGCTCTGATTCATAATATGAAACGTATGCCTTATCAGAATGAAAGTCTTTCGGGACATGTTGCTACATGTTACATTTAATGTTTAGCGCCTGACTCTGAGTGCGAAGAGCAATATCTTCCTGTACAATATATTGCGCAGTACGAGCAGATTGGAATCTTGAATTATTCAGTAACGAAGAAATCTACCTGCACATTCCAGGCACCAACTGCTTGGGCCAGATTGATGGAATGACAAAGTATGGCTCCGCTTTGGTCTTGATGTCTTGCTCCAACAGGTAGCTCTCTCCATGGCCGTCTGGGTATATTGTGTAGGCTGGCTGGTTGGTTCTCACAATCTTTGTGGGTACTGACCCCGGCCCAAACCCGTTAACAACCTCTGTTAGGTTGTTGGAGCCATATTGGGCGTTGGAATGACGGTCATCATGGCTGCCGTGTGGCGAAGGACTTCGTGATCGAGCCACAGCTACCAGATTTGGGTTCCTGTACATGTCGTAGGTGCGTTTGCCCTGAGGCGATGTAGAGCGAGAACTGGGCCTTGGGGATGAACAGTTCTCCTCAGCCAGGCTGGTGTGGGGTGATGTGCCTGGGCTGGTGCGAGGGGAGCCTGTGTGGATGTTTTGGAAGCGAGGACACAGGTCTCCGGCCACGGCCTGCACACTACCTGGGGACACACAGGGTGATGCGAATGGCGAGTAAGTCTCAGAGTGCCACGAGGCGGAGGAGTTGCTGCTGGCTGGGCTCAGGCACTGAGGCTCACGGTAGATGGCACAGTCCAGACCGGGCACAGTGAGAGTAGGCCTGGGGCTGGCATTCACCAGCGGGTCATGGAGTGAGTTGTGCCCATGGCTGTGATGCTCACGTGATGGCGTGATCTCAATCCTGGGACTCACAGCTTGGGGACCAGACCTTACGTGCCCTACATAATTTTTAGGCTCCAGATGCTCATAGCCAGAAAGAGCCTCGGTGCTGCTTTCAGTGTAGGGGGAAGCCTCGTCCAAGGGGTACGGGTGTGCGTGTATGGAGATATCGGTGTCATCTAAAAAAGAAAGAGGACATGCATGAATATGGTCACTAGTAGGGTTGGCCAATATGCTAAAAATGTCACATAACGATGCTTAAATATATTTTCACAAATTTGTATCATCATATTTAGGTTTGTGCCAAATACTTTTACTTTTGCCTTTGTTTCAGTTACTTCTTACTGTGTCGAATAATAAACTCGGTCAGTGGTATAAAAGTACATCATGAAATGAAAAGTATATTGTGTATTGATATGATCATATGACATCATCATATCAACAATGCGTAGTCACAATATACGTGAACTCGTGACATAAAACGCAACACAAAGCGTGCCGACTGTGGCCTTTGAATTTTTGGTGCCATCAAATTGAGAGATGAACAACGAAAAGGGGGGTCATATAAGAGTCAGGCGAGTACAAAATCTCACTTTTCTGAACTGTTATTTTGCAACTGGCTTGAAAAAAATAATAACAACACAAATGGAGAACATGAAAATGATATGATGAAATGATATCCTAATATGCGGACGATCTCGAACCGATTGAAAAACTGGCAATGCTGAATGTCTAACACACTATACCCTGAAATAAATAAATAAATAAATAAATAAATAAATAAATAACAAACAGGAAAACTCCCAAAACTAACAGGCATTGCAGAGCCTTTTCTAACTCTAGCACATTTTGCACTGCAATTACACATCAATAACCTATTCCACACACACACACACACACACACACACACTTCAGAACTAAGAGACTAAGTCAAAACAGACCTTTAGGATCTCCTGAAGGAAAGTCGCTGTCATGGGGCTCATAGTTAAACAGGTATTCAAACTCCAGCTCCTCAGAGCTCATTTGAGTCAGCTCTCCAGACAGCCCTAAGTCAGAGCTGTCCTTTGCGTAAAAAGAGCTCATCTGCCTTCTCTTCAAGTCGCCTCGAAGTCTGAATCATGGAATTACAGAAGGACGGTCGGAGAAACTAAGTGTCGCGCGCGTAAACGTGGAGAGCGGAGTGAACGTGCAGCGCTCCGTGCGTTAAAATGATGCACCCATGAGACGCAAATCTGCAACTTCCGCCCTCACCTTCAGAGCATAGAGATAGAGAGAGTGGGCGTGTCTGTGCGCTCAGGAGAATACAGATGTTGGAGATACAGTAAGTGGGAAATGAACGCCTCCTGTTGATAGCTGACACATTTTTTTTTTTTTTAAACGAGCATTTTAACGGTTTTTGAGCGCAGGTTGTGATCCTAAGTGCTGCTGCCCCCGAGTGTTCAACACAAACCTTTGACAGAAAAGAGCATGACGTTATGAAGCAATGCACCGTGGTCCAACCCAGCTTTATTAATGATCTAAGCCCAGTTTTCATGTTGAATTTACAAAAAAAACAAAAAACAAAAAACACTCTCGTGTGTTAAATAGGATTGCATCTACAATCCATCCATCCATTCATCCATCTTCTATACCATCCATCCATCCATCCATTCATCTTCTATACCATCCATCCATCCATCCATCTTCTATACCATCCATCATTCCATCAATCTTCTATACCAACCATCATTCCATCCATCTTCTATACCATCCATCCATCCATCCTCTATAGCATCCATCCATTCATCCATCTCCAATAACATTCATCCGTCCATCCATCTTCTATACCATCCATCCATCCACCCATCTTCTATACTGCTAATCCTTTTCAGGGTCACAGGGAACCTGGAGTCTATGCCAGGGAGCATGGGGCACAAGGTGGGGTACACCCTGGACAGGGTGGCAATCCATCACAGGGCACAATCACATACACATTCACACACCCATTCATACACTACGGACACTTTAGACACGACAATCAGTCTACCATGCATGTGTTTGGACTGGGGGAGGAAACCGGAGTACCCGGAGGAAACCCCCGCAGCACGGGGAGAACATGCAAACTCCACACACACAGGGTACAATCACATACACACTCACACACCCATTCATACACTACGGACACTTTGGATTCTGCATCTACATTATGACGCGTTAATATCACACATAGTCTAGTAAACCATTATGTAAATCTATAAACAATTCCACTGTACTAATTTCCCAGCGCAACCACAACATCCAACAATTCAGGAATGACAGGAAGTCAGGTGACAGGGATAGCCCAGTGATAGTGTATCATAAACCATCACGCGCTTCAACTAATAAACAAATGACACACGTTATTTCTCTCTAGCACAGTCTTCCATTAATGATCCATCAAGCCCAACATGGTAGTTGATGAAGCCCCAGCCTATATAAGCAAGCAAGTGAGTAGTCTTCATGTCCATGTCTACCTGCACTCATGTCACGTTACTCCTTGAGTATGTGTCGGTGAAGCGCACCTGGAGCCGCGGCATCTCCTTTCGGACGCACAGACGTCAGCACGCGCAGGCAAAAACGACTACGTCCAGACGCAAACTTCATTTGCCAGCTTCTCCTTAAATGATCCCTCGTTTTAAGACGCGTCCTCGCGCCAGCGCGGCACACGTAAGCGAGCGCAGGGTGCGCGCGTGGGCGTCCCGCGCGTTATAAAAGGCTTCCCTCACGACCTACTGACACGTAGTGTAGAATCCACGAGATACAAGACATAGTCAGGACATACTCATCACGTGTGAGGTCAGACAAACCCCAGTGCTCGGCTATTTAA